ACGATGGCCGCCAAGTGCACGGCGGAGTTCGTGGGCACCTTCCTGTTGATCTTCACGGTGGGCTGCAACGTGCTGGGCGGTTCGGCCACCTGGGCCGGCGTGTCCATCGCCTTCGTGCTGATGGTCTGCATCTACGCGCTGGGTGGCATCTCGGGCGCCAACTTCAACCCGGCCGTGTCCGTGACGCTGGGCATCTCCCGTGCCATGGGAGGCCCTGGCCTGGACTGGAAGACCGTGGGCATCTACTGCGGCGTGCAGACCGCCGCAGGCATCGCAGCTGCCGTTTGCTACTCCCTGCTTTTCGGTATGAGCTTCAACTTGATGCCGGCCAAGGGCTTCTCCTGGTACCATGCTGGGCTCTGTGAGCTGCTCTACACGTTCATGCTCACCTTCGTGGTCATGAATGTGGCCGCAGCCAAGAAGAACGTGGCCGAGAAGAACCAGTACTATGGCATGGCCATCGCCTTCACTGTGGTGGCGGGCGCCTATGGTGCTGGCGCCGTGTCCGGCGGCTGCTTCAACCCGGCCGTGGCCCTGGGCATCGACGTCTCCAGCGCGGGCCGTGGCTTTGGCTGGTCCATCGCCTACGTCATCTTCGAGCTCCTGGGTGCGGCCATGGCCGCTGCCCTCTTCAAGGTGGTACGCCCAGAGGATTTCGGTGGTGAGAAGAGCCAGCTGACCGAGCTGGTCAGCGAGTTCCTGGGCACTTACATGCTGGTCCTGACCGTCGGCCTNNTTAACGTGTTGGGCAACTCCAAGGCCGCCGCCTTCTCCATCGCCGCGGGACTCACCTCCATGATCTACGCCCTGGGTGATGTCTCCGGCGCACACTTCAACCCCGCCGTCACGGTGGCCATCCTTGCTTCCGGCCGCTGCCCGGAGCTTACCCCTGCCAAGGCAGGCACCTATGCTGGCGTGCAAGTGCTGGGCGGCATCACGGCAGCGCTCACCTACGCCTTCATCTACCGGGGCGCCACCTTTGGCCTGGGACCTGTGGGCTCCAGCACTTGGGCCGGCGTCTCCGTGGCAGAGATCGTCTACACCTTCGTGCTGTGCTTCGTGGTGCTCTGCGTCGCCGTGTCCGAGCGCACCAAGGCCTCCCACCTCTTCGGCCTCGCCATCGGCTCCTGCGTCACCGTCGGCGGCTTCGCCATCGGCGGCATCTCCGGCGGATCCCTCAACCCCGCCGTGTCGTCTCCGGGCTGCAAGCGCAGAATAGTAATCCACGCCAAGAGCACAGGGCAATTTGTTGTTTTATGGCATTTTTGGATCGGTTTGAACATGGGCCACAGATTGCGAACACTCCCGACAACAAACCAAACACCCATCAGGGCTTCGTTGTGAAGTTGCAGACAAAAACTCAGCACAAGCTGAGCGTCGAATGTCTACCTTGCCATCTCGAGGCTGCGTAAGTGCACAGCAGCTTTTCCAAGACAACACGCGCAGCAATAATACTAGACTTGCGCTTGTAGAAACCTACCACATATGTAGGTCAGCTTGTTTGCAAGGTATGGGCAATTATGGGCTGTTTTCGGTTGATGGGTGTATCAGAATGTGAGTGCACCTGAAGGCTCCATTTTGAGTGTCCTCAGCATGTCAGAACTGGTTCAGAAAGAAGCTGCCTAGCAGCCCCGGCCCCTAATTGGGGTTAGCCTGCTCATAGACCACGAAGTTTATGACCTACTTTCTGAGTCCCCTGAACCTCACGCATGCGGTTAGATAGGGTTTATCTAGGGATTATATAGGGATTCCACGGGGATTATCTAGGGATTATCTAGGGATTATATAGGGATTAGAAAAATATATAGGGTTTATGTAGGGGATATATAGGGATACGGGAAAGCAAATGGAAACTACCATTTAGGGCTCAGGGTGTAGAGTGTAGGTTTTAGTTTCAGGGGTTAGGGTTTGGCGTATGACCATCTACCTAGCGAGCTGAGGTTCGGCATTGCTGCGTCCCACATCCTGAACGGCGGACGCTTCTACCAGGTTGGTGTGCGTAGCCCTACGTACCCTGAGGGTCCAAGGATCCAAATAATAGGGTCCCTTTACAGGGGTTATAGGGGGACAGATAAGGATATATGGGGACTTTCTAGGGGTCGAAAGCCCAAATACTATGATATTAACGGTATTTGGGCCTTAAAGCCCTATTATTTTGGTCCTTGGACCCTTAGGGCTAAAGTTGGAGGGTCAGCGGGGCTTCGTAGGTTCGTGTATGGCTGAAAGAGTTCTTAGAGAAACACATTATATCCTTCCTGACTCTCCAACTACCTGGACATCCCTAAACCCTAAACCCCAAGCCCTGTTCTTGGAGGTTGAGGGTTGGGGCTGACGCATTTTATTTTTGAAGTGTTGCGCCCGGGACATGAAAATCTGCCCGAGCAGGCCCAGGTAGAGGTACGAACAGTGTTACCGCCAAACATGGGCCTCATAGACTTAGAACAATAGGCCTCAGACCCAAAATTATGGATGTATGGCAATGTATGGGCACGTCATAGGAGTTTGGGAGGTCAAAGTAAGTTTTTGGAAGTGCACCGCGACCCAGGGAACCCAATATCCTCTAGTTGAGGGGTATGGCCTTCAATTAGATTTGTGGTCCTGGTATGCTTTTAGGTATATTCCAGATTTCCTCCTATGATTTTAGGTAGACTTCAGTGTATTGGATTCTGTCTTCAAGGGGGTGGGAAATTCCCTGCCAAGCTGGGTGACCAGCCATGTTCAATGCTCTGGTAGTTCTTCTTAGCAACTCCTGGCTACGACAGACTCAGCCCTGGACCCTCGTGGTCTGGAGAACTCATCAACGTCATTCCTACGGGATGGAACTGCTCTGGAATTCTAGACCCGAGGCTCTGCTCGGCAGCAACCCAAGGTGTATACTTGCAATCCCAAGCGACCAAAAGCCCGCCACTCTACGCTCTCAGCTCAAAAAGCATGAGAAGCTACGGCAAACTTGGAAAACTGGAGCAGCTACTGGCCTATAGGCAGGCATGGTGCAAATTACGGATTACGAATGCCATCTAGACTTTGTGACTGTGAGCAGTTTGTTATTCCTGCAGAAACCAACACTTTGAAACTCCTTCATGAGTCATATGCCGTGAATAACTTACAATGTCATCATTGCTGCTCTTCCTTTGGTATTATTACGATGACGTTCTCAAGCGCTCAACCCAATGCCTGCTCAATCATAAGCCCTAATCCAGAAAGCACAAGCCCTAAACCTGAGACCCTTTACCCTTATACCCTAAGGCCTAAACAACCGTCAACCCAGTTCCCGAAGCCTCGAACCTTCAACGCTAAGCCCTGAAAACTTGGACTCTAAGTCTTACACCTTGCAAAGGGTTCAGGGATAAGCCCTAACCTATTAAGCCCTAAGCCGTAAGCCTCATACCCTCAATCTTTAACTTTGATGTACCGTAGGAGCCTGAAATACTACCAATATGTGAAAGTATAGTACAGTTAACTCCTAAACACGATTCTAGGTAGGTCTGGAGCAATACAAGCCAAGCCCAACAATCCCCTTTAGAAAACCAACAGTCCATCTAAGTTTCATATTCTCTTCCATTTGATTCTCCATAATGGTAACTCGACCCCGAAAACCCTGAACCCTAAAACCCAAACCCTAAATCCTATAAGATAACCCTGAGCCCTAAAAGGTCAATGTGAAGTAAGTTCCGATGTTAACCCCCCCAACCCTCCCTAAACCCCAAACCCTAAACCCTAAATCCTAAACCCCAAACCCTAAATCCCTAAACCCTAAACCCCAAACCCCCAAACCCCAAACCCCAAACCCTAAACCCCCCTGAACAGGCCCTTCTCTACACTCTCCTGGAGCTTGCGGGTGCTACCGCAGCAGCAGGCGTCTTCAAGGTGACTCATGAGGCCTCCAGGGGTCAGGGCTTAGGGTATATAGGGGTTATATAGGGTGTTCTAATTATAGGGATAATGGAAAA